TTAAAATCCCAAGGAATTTCAATTCATTCCTTTATCAGCTATTTCAAGGATGCCTTCACTGTTCTTGGTATTGGACACAAAAAGGCCAATCAAACATGCACAGTTCTACCCTCATGTAGTTTACAGTTTAATGGGGACAAAACACATATCACATATACAATTTGCCTAATTTCAATTTTAATAAGGGTACAAAAATTCTGGAGGTAAGAGCATGTACCATAGGGACACTGATCTATTCTGAAGTAAAAGGAAGCAGGGCTTTGAGGAGGAGATCTAAGCCACAACTTAGAGTAAGGGCTGATAACTTAGAGAAAAAAGAACAGTAAAAGCAAAACTGAAAAGGAACTTGGCTGACAAGGCATTAAGGGAAGATCAGTCTAGCTCCAGTACTGTGAGGAAGGAAAAGAGGGGTGTGGACACACCTCAAGATGACTGAACTCTTCCAAGGCTTTGGAGAACAGTTTAAGAAGATAAGATTGTCTTCTAAACCAAATGGGAGGCCACTAAATGGTCTGAAGCAGAAAATAGTAAGATGGGACCCACAACTTCAAAAGTAAAACACTTACTGCTTAGTGTATAAGTATAATTTTAAGGGAGAAAAAAATGGCTGTAGGGAGATCTGTTGGGAAACTATTGTTGTAGTCTAAGCGGATCATGGTAGCATGACTAGGAAGGCACAGTAGCTATGCAAAGAAATAGACTGAAGATATATTTAAGACTTGATGACGGACTTTACATGGGGGATAAGGAAGACAGGAGTGTTAACACTGAGATTTCTAACATGAATAATGGAGTCGATAATAAAGCTACTTTACTGTGATGGCAAATACTTACTTATATAAGAAGGGTTGTCAAACTGGACTTCCGCATCCTGAGCTTGGGTAATTAATATTTTGAAAGTTCTGCAAGACTTTTATATTCATCCCTGTTAACTCTTTCATTTTTTGGATCATACTTCTAGTAAGTTCAGATACTTAAAAATCTTCAGTCTAATACCCAAGGTCTCCTCTTGCCCTTCCTAGCTTTATATCATCTACAAATTTGATAAGTCATACTTTGTAATAATTTATTAAGTTATTAACAAAAATGTAAAAAGGGGGCCAAAGGCAAACTCGATGCCATTGAATTGATTCTGACTCATAGTGACCCTATTGGACAGAGCAGAACTGCCCCATAGAGTTTCCAAGGAGCTCTGGTGGCACAATGTCTAAGGCATTTGACTGCTAATCAGAAGGCTGGTAGTTCAAACCCACCAGCTACTCCTCGGAAGGAAGACTGGACAATCTACTGCCATAGAGACACCACCTTGGAAACCCAAGAAGGGGTTGTTGGGAGTTGAATTGACTCAACGGCAGTGAGTTTGGTTTTGTTTTTTGGATAGGGTTTCTAAGGCTGTAAACCTTTACAGAGATTTACAGACCTTTACAGAGCAGGCTATCGCATCTTTCTCCCATGGAGCAGCTGGTGGGTTCAAATTATCAACCTTTTGGTTAGCAGCCAAATGCCTTAACCTCTGCACCACCAGAGTTCCCTGTAAAAAGGGGACAGGACGAACAAACGTACCACTAATAATCTCTCTTCAAGTTGGCACTGGTTCATTAAAAGACATATGATGTCTCATAGTCAATACCAGCAATAGTATTTGTTCAACATTCAGGGTGTGCCAAGCAATGAATGTCCATTATACATATTTAGTCATCATAGTTTTTTTCCATCTCCCAAATATTTATCGAGAGCTCTGGTGGTGGTGTAGTGCCTAACGCATCTGACTGCTAACCAGAAAGCTGGCAGTTCAAATCTAGCAGCCACTCCTCAGAAGGAAGGTTGGGCAATCTACCTCTGTAGAGATACCACTTTGGAAATCCAAGGAGGGGTCGCTATGTACTATTATCAACATCATTCTGGAGGTAAGGAATCTTAGGCTCAGATATGAAGTAAATGTCCTTAAGTCATAGAGTTAGTAAAATATTTATAATATGATAATTTTAATATAATATTTATAATATGACCCCATCTTGGAGTCTCTCAAACATATGCTGTTAAATACTGAGGTTTTATTTGCACAAAAACACCAAACCAAACCTGTTGTCTTTGAGTTGGTTCTTATAGCACCCTATAAGACAGAACAGAACTGCACCATAGGGTTTCCAAGGCTGCAAATCTTTATGGAAGCAGACTGCCTCATCTTTCTCCTGTGAAGCAGCTGGTGGGTTTGAATCTCTGACCCTGTGGTTAACAGTCAAGTGTTAACCACTGCACTCCAGGGTTCCCCTTTTATTTGTACACTTGTGTTAAGTCTTCTTATGTTTGTTAATATCAGTGTATACTGCTCAGGTATATGTGAAAATGTTGTTGTGTGCCATAGAACTGATTCCAACTCATAGTGACCGTTGTGGACAGGGAAGACCGTATCACAGGGTTTGCTAAGCTGTCTTCTTTATGGGAGCAGATAGCCAGGCTTTTTCTCCCAAGGACCGGCTGGTGGGTTCAAACCGCCAGCCTTTCAGTAAGCAGCTGAACTCTTAATTATTGTGTCACCAGGGTTCTATGCATGTAAAAATACATGTAAACAAAAAGCCATTAATATTTTGAAAGTTCTGCAAGACTTTTATATTCATCCCTGTTTTTTTCCAGAATAATGTTTCTGTTGCTTTCACTGAAAAACTTCTCAGTACTATCTCTAATATCCTTTTTAGTTCTTTTCAATTCAGTTAGGAGAAATTTCTTAGAAACAGAGCCTCCTAAAAATAAAACAGGCAGAGCTGGTTTATTGTGTCCAAATTAAAAAAAAAAAAAAAAAAGGGTCAGTCTTACATTCACTTTTTGAATTTAGGAATTTTATGAAACAGAAGATAGAAAGAGTTTTTTTTTTTTTTTTTTTTAAAGTGTTATTGTCATTATTGCTGTTTTGGTAAAGAATGTATGATAAGAGAGGATCACATTGACAGATACTTTTCACCCTTAAAGAATAACATCTGATAACTCACCTGTCTACTTGCTTCCAGATCAAAAAAGAAAAAAAAACTCAACTGCTGTCTGGTCAGATCTGACTCACGATGACCCCTCCTTGGGTTTCTGAAGCAGTATCACTACGGAAGTAGATTGCCCAACCTTCCTTCCAAGGAGTGGCTGGTGACTTTGAACTGCCAGCCTTCTGGTTAGCAGTCAAATGCCTTAAGCACTATGCTACCAGAGCTCAGAGTATATATATTTCAGACCCATATAAGCATGGGTTTAAATATCTGCATGTGCAAAGTCAGTAGAAAAACAAATCTGTCTTGTATGGAGTATAGTCACAACACTCCTCAGAAGCGAGAATGGTGAGACTTCGTCTCATATACTTGGGACATATTATCAGGAGGGACCAGTTCCTGAAGGAAGATACCATGCTTGGCAAAGTAGAGGGTTAGTGAAAAAGAGGAAGACCCTCAATGACATGGGTTGTCACAGTGGCTGCAACAATGGATGCAAGCATAGCAACAACTGTGAGGATGGTGCAGGGTCAGGCAGCATTTCCTTCTATTGTACATGGAGTTGCTATGACTCAGAACTGACTTGATGACACCTAACAACAATTTCTGCATGTTCTTCATAGTGTCTTCCTTTGTAGCTGAACTGAAGGCTTTTCTCTTTTCTTTGGAGTCCCTGGGTGGTACCAACAGTTAACACGCTCACCTGCTACAGAAAGGTTGGTGTTCTGCATCCACCCAGAGGCACCCCCTGAAGAAAAGCCTGGCAATCTACTTCCAGAAAGTCAGCCATTGAAAACCTATGGAGCATACTGGATTGATGTGGTGCTGTGGGAAAAAAATGGAACAGAAACCTACAGAGCAAAGTTCTGTTGACACACATGGGTTCACCATGAGTTGGAGTGAATGCAACAGCAACTAGTCGTATTCCTGCCCTCAAAGTCAAAACTCAGTTTATAAAAATTCTTTGCTCCTTATCCCTCCTTTCATGTAGCCAGCACAGTAAGTATTCCTATTCAAATTCTAATATCTTTATTAGATTAGAAACCAGCTGTCAGTATTAATTGGAAGAAGTCAAGGAAAGCAAGATTTTATACAGGTAGGAGTTGCTGTTTACATTTTAAGAAATGTTGCATTTCATGTATACTTTTTATAAAATGGGAAGATTAGATTTCAAAATATTCCATCAGGGCTCAAATAACTATAATAAAGCATTGTTAAGTTAGTGATTAATAAAAAATGAATGCAAATAAGGACAAATAAGATTCTGAGCCAACAAGACTCTTTCTATTTCCATTTCCAAAGGAATATTCTCACAAGAATGTTCTGGTATAAATATGCAAGCACAAAATTGAGAACATATTTGCTCTTATGATGTACCCTGGTTTTATCAATTAAAAAAAGAACAAAGAAACCAAAAAACCAAACTCACTTCCACTGACTCAGATCCGACTCATAGCAACCCCTTCTTGGGTTTCTGAGACGGTATCACTACGGAAGTAGATCGCCCAATCTTCCTTCTGAGGACTGGCTGGTGGGTTTGAACCACCAGCCCGTTGGTTAGCAGTCAAATGCCTTAAGCACTCCGTCACCAGAGCACCTAGGATATTTTAATTTCAGAAGTGCAACAGTCTAGAAGTATGTCTAGAAGTATGTCAGGCATTCTTTATCAACATTACCATGATAGAAGTTTTTCAATTTAGATAGAAAGGAAGATAATTGTTTTACCCAGTTTATCAGTATAAGAAAGCAGATTACTAGGAATATGCTACAGAGATCCAACTGGCTACAATGATTGCCACTTTACAATCTAGGAACATGACAGAGGAGTTTCATTGACAGTAAAGCTTTGGAGCTCAACTTTTAACATACTGTGAGGTTTGCAAATTCTGTTTTTCTTTAATTTGAGCAAAAGAGCAACAGTTACATCTCCATTATCTTCTCTTTAAACTCAAAACATGCTTCCTCAAAGTAGAGGACATTAAAATAAATGTTTTCTAAGCAATACTATGCCTAAGAAAATGCACTCACCTTTAAGTTTCTGTAGGTCCTCCTTCAAATCAGGCCCTGCCAGCATAAAGATACTTTCTGACACAGGATTCTTATCTGTGAGACTCTCATTGCTGGTATTCACAATGGCTGTACAGTTTAGTAATGCCACATCTCCTTTCCTGAAGAAACACAGTAAATAAATAAAGGGAAGGTGGTGGGGGGAAGGAGGGAGACAAGAAAGCTAGTTTCTACTTCTCCCAAAAGATCCTATCCACATGTCCTTCACAACCTTGGTTTTGTCAGTTCACAAACTAACAAACAGTAGAAAATGAAGTCCTGTCTCAGGAAGATTTATCTGGTACCTTAGGTTGATACAATTGTTACGACCACAAATCTCACAAAACTGTCAGTATCCTTTTGCATCTTACCTATTTTTCTTTCATTGTACCCTAAGGCCCATTCATAGAGTTGATAGTTGGTTTCAATGGAGGTTAGGCATACCAGCACTATTCATAATAGTTAAAAAGTAGAAACAACCCAAATACTCATCACTGGATAACTGATTAACGAAATGTGGTGTAGCCATACAGTGGAATATTATTTAGCCATGAAAAGGAATGAAGCACTAATAGATGGTACAATATGAATGAATCTTAAAAACATTATGCTAAATACAAAAGCCAGTGGCAAAAACCACATACTGTACAATTATATTTATAGGAAACGTCCAGGATAATCAGAGACAGAAAGTAGATTGGTGGTTGCCCTGGGCTGGGGAGATTGGGGAAAATGGCAAGTGACTGTCAATGGCTATAGAGTTTCCGTTTGGGGTGATAAAATGTTCTAACACTGACCGTGATGATAGCTGTATTAAAAAACACTGAATTGTACAATTAAAACTGGTGAAATATATGGTATGTAAATTATGTATCAGTAATGTTATTAAAAAAAAAAGATTGAACTACTGATACATGTAACTACATAGAAGCCAAACCAAAACAAAAAGAGCACATGATTTCATTTATATAAAACTCTAAGCATGCAAGCTAATCTATAGTAACAGATCAGTGAATGCTTGAGGATGTGAGGACAGAAAGGGACAGGAAAGAAGATTACAGAAGGATACAAGAGAACTTTTAGGGGTGATGGATAAGTTCATTATCTTGGTGGTGATGGTTTCATGACAATATGTATGGCAAAGCTTATCAAATTGTATGTTTTAAATATGTGCAGTTCATTGCATGTCAATTATACCTCAGTAAAACTGTTTTAAAAAATATACAGAGAATAGTGTTTCAACAATTCTAGGCCTTATAAGAAAAAAGTTTGGAAGAAATTATATGAAAGTGTTATCACATCATGCCAGGATTTAATTAAAGAATTACCAAAGAACCACTTTTCCACTGATATCCTTATTATGAGGAAAAGGTGATCTAACAGTATCTTCCTGTAACTTTTCAGTGGCAATGTCAGAAGAATCTAATTCATCTTCACATGAGTCACTCCAACATGGTAGTGTATCCACATCCACAAACTGGGAAGGTGCACCCAAGGGATCCATGGAATGGAAACTTCAGCTGTCTTTTTTTCCAAATTCCTCAGCAATTCAATATTCACTGGAGACGTTAGCTTAAAAGAGAAGGAAGGATTGTTTTAATAGAGAAGGCACAGATAGTAGTTTAATTCCATTAGAGCAAAAAACAAAACTGTAGTATGAAATACTTGAATAGTACATTATGTGATTATACTCAAATAGTCCATAAAAAACAACATAAAACAAAGAACTGCTATAGCCTTTCAAAAACAGGAAAAAGGGGGCTTATTTAAGCACAAATTATTTTCAAAGAATTATAGCTATGAAAATAATCACATGGCCCACCAATCCTTCTTTCCAGAAACATAGTACTACTCATTCAATATTCACTGAATGCCTGCTATTAAAGGAAAAAAAAAGTGCTATATGTGGCGACAGATACAAAGATAAATAATATCTACAAGAGTTCAATCTGAAGATAATGTAGAGGATACATTCAATAAGACAAAAAGAGAAGCAGTGAGGTGACTGTAATCAAGTAGTAAGAGATGTTAAAGGTCTGAACTCAGTAGAAAAGGAGCTGGAGAAGAAGGCATGGATTTGGAAGACAACATGCAATGGAAGAATTAACAGGATTTGGCAATCTATAGGCTATCGTATATGAGATACCGGTGTAGTAATTGACTGACTGTACAGGACTACAGCAATCAGAAGAGGAGGGTAATGGGAAAACACATAGTGTCAAGGTTATAGAAAATTTAACATGAGAAATGTTGTTGTTGGGGCCGTTGAGTTGTCTCCAACTCATAGCGACCCTATGCACAGCAGAACGAAACACTGCCCAGTCTTGTACCAGCCTCACGATCCTTGTTATACCTGAGCCCATTATCGCAGCCACAGTGTCTACCCATCTCGTTGAGGGCCTTCCCCTTCTTTGTTGACCCTCCACTTTACCAAGCATAATATCCTTCTCCAAAGAATGGTTCCTTCTGACAACATCACCAAAGTAAGTGAGACAAAGTCTGGCCATTCTGGCTTCTAAGGAGCATTCCAGCTGCACTTCTTCCAGGACAGATTTGTTAGTCCTTTTAGCAGAGTATGGTACTCTTAGCATTCTTCTACAACACCACAACTCAAAAGCATCGACTCTTGTTTGGTCTTCCTTATTCATTGTCCAGCTCTCACGTGCAGAAGAGGTGACTGAAAATACCATGGCTTGGGTTAAAAACCAATAACTCACTGCCATGGAGTCAGATTCGACTCATAGCGACCCCTCCTTCGGTTTCCAAGGCAGTATCACTACAGAAGTAGATTGCCTCATCTTCCTTCTGAGGAGTGGCTAGTGAGTTTGAACCTCCAGCCTTCTGGTTAGCAGTCAAATGCCTTAGGCCCTATGCCACCAGAGTTCCTATGGTTTGAGTTAGGCACACCTTAGTCTTAAGGGAGACATCTTTGCTTTTCAGCACTTGAAAGAGGTCTTTGGCAGCAGATTTGCCCAACGCAATATGTCATCTGATGTCTTGACTGCTGCTTCCACTGGTGTTGATTGTAGAACCACATAATACAAAATCCTCAACAACTTCAATCTTTTCTCTATCCACTGTGAAGCTGAAAAAGGATACTCAATTTGTCAGTAAGTCAGATAACTGTCTTCAGTAAAATGGTAGATTCATTCATCCAATAACTCTTTCTAAGTATCTATTATGTGTCAGGTATTATTCTAGGCAACATCCCTGGGTGATGCAAATGGTTAATGTATTGAGTCTACCTAAAGGCATTTCCAGAAGCTTCGTGATCTATTTCTGAAAAATCAGCCATGGGGAACCCTATGGACACAGTTCTACTCTGACACACATGGGGTTACCATGAGTCAAATCAACTCAAGGGCAACTTGTTTCAGTTATTGTTCCATCCACTGGGGATAAAGACTGGACAAGTCTCTGCCCTTATGAAGGTTATGTTTCTGTTGAGGGGAGAGATGATAAACAACAAACCTGAAGATATCTAACAAAATGACTAAAAGTAATAAGTATAATAGAAGGACAGGTGACATTTCACCAAAGATCTAAATAAAGCAAAAGAGCAAGCTATGTGAAACTCTGCAGGGTGTTTCAGGTAGAGGAATTAGTATTTCAGGTAGAGGAATTAGCAAAGTATTAGGCCAAAAGGAGCTCTGGTAGCATAGTGCCTAAGGCACTTGACTGCTAACCAGGAGGCTGGTTGTTCAAACCCACCAGCCACTCCTCGGAAGTAAGGTTGGGCAATCCTACTTCTGTAGTGATACTGCCTCGAAAACCCAAGGAGGGGTCGCTGTGAGTCGGGGCCGACTCGATGGCACATAACAACAACAACAACAAGGCCAAGAGGGCAGAAAGGAACTTGGTGCACTCCAGGAAAATCAAGGAGTTTAGTCTGGCTAGAGTAGAACAAGCTAGGTAATGAGTGGTATGTGATGAGGTTGGTGAGAAGGGAAAGGCCAGATGATACAGTTTGTAAGCCACAGTAAGGAGTTTGGATCTTATTCTAACTATGACAGGAAGCTATTGGAAGATACTGAGCAAAACAATGATAGTATAATTAGCATTCTACAAGATTACCTTGTTGTTAGGTACCTTTGAGTTGGTTCCAACTCACAGCAACCCCATGTACAACAGAATGAAACTGTGCCCAGTCATGTGCCATCCTCATAATCACTGGTATGCTTGAGCCCACTGTTGTAGCCACTGTGCCAATCCATCTCACTGAGGATCTTCCATTTTTTCCTGGACCATCTACTTTACTAAACATGACATCCTTCTCCAGGGATTGGTCCCTCCTGACAACATGGCCAAAGTATGAGAGGTACAATCTCCCCATTCTCACTTCTAAGGAGCATTCTGATTGTACTTCATCCAACACAGATTTGTTTGTTCTTCTGGCAGTCCATGGTATATCCAATATTATTCCCCAACACCATACTTGAAATGCATCAATTCTTCTTCAGTCTTTCTTATTTATTGTCCAGCTTTCGCATGCATATGAAGCAACTAAAATACCAAGGTTTGGGTCAGGGCACCTTAGTCTTCAAAGTTATGTCTGCTCTTTAACACTTTAAGGAGGTCTTTTGCAGCAGATTTGCCCAATGCCATATATCGTTTGATTGCTTGACTGCTGTTTTTATGGGCGTTGATTGTGGATCCAAGTAAAATGAAATCCTTGACAACTTCAATGTTTTTTTCTGTTTATCATGATCTGGCTTATTGGTCCAATTGTGAAGATTTTTGTTTTCTTTATGAGAAGATGCAGGATTACCCCAGATACAATAAAACTAAGTAGAGGCAAGAGTAGCAGCAGAGACCAGCAGAAACTATTGCGGTAGCTTGCGTTACAGTGGTGGTTGTGGTGGTAGTGATGAAGCTGGTAAGAAATGGTTAGAACTGAAATGTTGTTGTTGTTGTTTTTGTTATGTGCCGTCGAGTCAAACCCGACTCATAGCGACCCCTCCTTGGGCTTCCGAGGCAGTATCACTACGGAAGTACTGAAAATAAAACTACTTCCTAAATGATTATGAAGGGTGAAGGAAAACAGAAGAATTTAAGATAACACCTAGATTTTTTACTCATGGGCAAGACTGGAGTAGGTTATGGAGTGGAGTGATAATCAGGGTTTGTTTTCCTCATATCTTTCTGAGTATATTAAGTGTAAAATGCCCGTTTATATCCAAGTGTTTATGTCTAATGTGCATTTGGTGATATGAGGCTAGAGCTCAGAGAGTTTGGGGAATACACATTTGGAAGTCTCAACATACAGATGATATTTAAAACTACGGGAACTGGGGCAGTGTGGTCCAGAGTATAAATGTAAACAGTGAAAAGAGATCCAAGAACCAAGTCCTGAAGCACTTCAAAATTTAGAGTTTGGAAAAAACATCATTCAGAGAATGAGGCAGAGAAGCAAGGAAAGGTAGAGAAGCAAGGAAAATCAGGAAAGTATTGTAGTTTAAGAACCACACGAAGAAAGCATTTGAAAGCATGTTCAAGAAGAGTAAGCTAGGATCTAATGATGCTAAAAGGCTGAGTAAGAGGACTGAGAACTAATTAGTGGGTTTGGTAAACTGATGATTGCTGATGACACAGAATATACATGAGAACAGACAAATGATCAGGAAATGAAGACTGGTGTGTGAAATTTCTCTTTTGAGAAGTTTTTCCATATAATCTTAATGTCTATTACCATCAAGGTGAACAAGCATGCCCTTCTACAACCAATTCCTTGATGTTTCTTACTGAGAAGACATGGGACATTAACTGGAATAAACCATGTAGCTAGCATAATATGCGAATTCCTGTATCAATACTGTGAGATAAGAACTGTGATCATTTATTTATATATATATATATATAAAACAATTTCAGAAAATCCCTATAGATTATAAATATGAAATTGGAGAAGATGATTATTCTTATTTTATACAGAATAAACTGTACTTCATAGGGTTTTCAGGGTTGTGACCTGTTGGAATAAAACTGTCAGGCTTTTTTTCTGAATCTTTTGAAATTATTTTGAAGTAAACTAATTCTATCTATCTATAAGTTGGTGTTTAGTCCATCCAATTGGCCTTTAAACCTGGATGGAAACAAAAATTTTGAAGTAGCTGGTGGAGTCAAACCATTGACCTTGGCAGCTAAGTGCTCAACCACTGTGCCACTGAAGTTCTTAGATCCCATTAAATATTGAACATAAACTTAGTGTTCGGTTTGCAAAACTGAATGCTAACTTTCAAGAAAAAATTACTTCTTTAAAATAAATTTTCTTTCTGACTGTAAGTAATACCTACTTATAGGACATTTGGAAAATACCAAAAAAATAACAAAAACAATCTGCTGAACTTTTATGTAGTTTCTACCTTCTTTTTACAACAGGTAAAACCATACAAAAATGTACAACATTCAAAAATGTTCAATTTTGAATCCTCCTTCTTTAGTATTTTAAGGTAAACATTTCTACATGCAATTACATTGTGAGTCAGAAGCAGTATGGTACAATGATTGAGATTAGGCTCTCATATCAGAAAGTCTGGGTCCAGGACTTGCCTAATAGTTGTATTTTCCTTTAA